ACTGATCCAGTATATCAGTACTTTCGAAATATTTGTATGAATACGTCGTATTGTCAGGTCCACTAGATCTGTTTTCGATCGACTTTGTCATAACCTGAGCTGTAATGATTTACGAAAATTATCGGTCCAGTTCAAAAAAGGGCGGTCTTTTACAATAGGCTCTGGTCTTTCGGAAACATGTCAACATCGCACGCCCGCACAGCACCCCACCACACTAAAACCACACCAATCCACTCCCTCTCCCTCCTTGACCCCACACCTTTTCACAAGCGCCATAATATGGCATCTGTGACCCCCACGCAGGCTGCAAGAGCTCTACTCCTGCTCTCCGATGCCGCCGTGGAGCGCCGTGCAGACCTGGAGGAGTATGCGTCAGACTCTGACGCCGTCGATACGGACGATGAGGTGGAAAGTGAGTCCCCCATTTATGATCAGTTCTACGAAAAGGGGGGCGCTGCCGCCGTCATACAGATGACCAACTTCAGTCCGACAGAATTCCATTCCACTTGGTGCAGCCTGGAAAAGGCCATCAAAGAGAGGTACAATGCAGGGCGTGGACGCAAATGCTCCCATACTCCACGTGATGTCCTGTTTATGACACTCTCTGTATTAAAACATGGAGGCCAATGGGACTTCTTGGCCAAGATGTTCAGTTTGAAAGGTCCTACGTTTGAGCGAATGATTATGAAATTTGTAGACATAATCTCTTATCCGGTCTTCCATCACTATGTGGAATATCAAGGTAAGAAATGGAAAATGGCCGTATTGCAGAGCAAGAAAGTCGGGTTTAAAAACTACCCTGTTGCGCGTTATGCCACTGATGTGACATTCCAGCAAAGTTTCCGCCCGAGTGGCAGCGTGGAGGAAGGCAAGCTGTACTATAGCGGGAAACATAAATTGTATGGCTACAAGACTGAGGTCTCGGTATTGCCAAATGGCCTTGCTTTAGGTTGCAGCGCTCACGAGCCTGGGTCAGTGTCAGACTTAAAAATATTCGAGGCCATGCTACCCTTTCACTCGAAACAACTTCGCAAAGGTGAAGGGGAAGGTGAAAATGACATAGAGGATGATGGGCCCTTGTCGAATGAGTTCCCAAACTATTGGGCTGTACTGTGCGATAAAGGATACTATGGGGCTAAGGAGTTCTGTCGTGTGATCCATCCGACCAAAAAACCGATCAATGGAACACTTACGCAAGCCGAGGTTTCTAATAACAGGCACATTTCAAGCGATAGAATTATAGTGGAAAACTTTTTTGGAAGGCTTTGTGGTCTTTGGAATGTCATGGCAGCGAAGTGGAAATGGAGTGAGGCGGGTTATGACAGTATTTTTCGTTTATGTGTGGGACTGACAAACTTTCATTTACACAAGAATCCTCTACGCGCTGAGGACTCCAAAATTTTGAGGACGATGAAGAACCGCCGCTATCATATAGCAGCATCTCAAATTCAAAAACGGCGCCAGGTGCAAAGGCGTTATCGCGAAAAGCGTCGTCGCCGAGTGGAGATGCAATTCAGATCCATCAACCACACAGATGAGTCCGACTAAAACTACATCTCGTGCGTGTCTCGGACGCTTCACTGATTGTGCGTGCAACTTGCCCTTTGCTCTCTTTCATAAACGTAGTGCGTAAACGCCGTAACCATGATCCCAGCACGCCTGAATGTCCACACGCGAAAACACAATCCCCTCTTTCGTCGTCCGGGTAGCACAACTCTCCAGGCCTGCCCCTTGGCCGTGCACTTCGCGGCCGCCGTCGCCTTGGTCCTGCAGATCCTGCAGCCGCGCTACGCCCGCGTCGTCTTCTTCCACCTCCGCCTTCTCGGCTCCCTTGCTGCCCTCTTGTGCACAGGCTTTTGTGTGCGCCGCCCAGGGCGCCGCCCTGCTTAGCGCCGCCTCCGCCGCCTGCAGGGGGCGTGCGATGCGCTCCGCGGTGACTGCGTCGCACGGGAAGGCCAGGTCTGCCCGCAGCGCAGCCAAGAGCTCCGCGGCGCGCTGTTGTACGTCCGCCGGGCCGGACGACGTCGGGTCCGAGAGGTTGGACTGGTCCGTGAGGCCCGCGGCGGTCAGCTGGGCGCGCGCGTCGGACACCGCCTCCGCAGGGGTCTGGCCGAAATCGGATATGTGCTCCCGCACGATCGCGTCGAAGGTGCTCTGCAGCACTTGCCGGCTGGACCCGGGAGTCGGGGAGGCATGTGGGGGAGGAACTGGGCAGGGAGAGTACTGGAAGGGTGAGTGAGGGCCGGGACGGACGGGAAAGGGGCAAATGCTGGCGGGTCAGATGGATGGGTGTAGTGCGCATGAGGAGCGGCGGGAGTTGGGCGGAAGTGGGCGGCGAAGTGGCGGGGGGGAGAGTGAGAAGGGTGGCACTGTGTGGTGCACCTGGAAATAGGGGGTGTGTTCACACAGACAACAGCTCACATGAGCTGTTGTCTCTCACGCGGGCGGATGGGAGAGGGAGGTGGCGGATTTCGGGTGCGTCTCTTGCGGAAGATTTTTGGAAGAGCCGAATGGTTGTGGAACGGAACAATAGTGATATCAGTTTACAGTTGCCCATGTTCTAGTTTATCATAACGAAATTTTCGAAAAGACTGAGGATGGCCAATGATTATCAAGAAACTTCGTAAAGACCAAGTGCATACATATTTTACCTTTGTTCTGCATGTGAAGTAAATCTTGCTGCACGCAGCGAGGATCTGCGTTTGAGATCTATTATGAATTTGAAATCTTCACGGCTTTAAGTACGGGCCTGCGTCTGTTGGGAGAATCATCTGAGGTAGTCGAGCTTGAGTTTGAATTACACAGCAGCTCGCTCTTACTGAGTACACTGGGGTGCGGCATACAGCTCCTTACCACCGTGGTAGGTCATCCATCAGCATCATCCTACTGTAGCCAAACGAGTATCTGGGATCTGCGCTGCAGCTATCGACCTCGTACTGAAGGGTGAGAACACATCCTCTGTCAATAAATATGCTAGGATGATGTTTCATATAAGGGACTGTTCCATGGGGGCCGTTGCGAATTCTCCGTAAGCTGGTCGGATGAGCTTCAGTACTCAGCCGGGTAAGAGAGCATGTTTAGTGCCATTGCAAAATGGCTTGGGGATGAGATTCGTTGCAGCCGGAGATGAGATTTTGGGTTACCAAGTGCGGAGAGGATGAGGCGATTGGATATCATACAACTCGAGATGCCAATCTACACGTGTAGGAACCTCCAAACATCTCCCGAAATGGTACACTAATTACATACCGTCCATACCGCTCAATAGTGCAAAACCGTTCTATGCGGTTAAATACTGCACTATTGGCGTATTGCATTACTTTAGGGAAGATCTCGCCGACAACTTTCTCAGCATAGCTTTACTTGAAGAAAAGTACGCTGCACACGTGTCGAAAGTCGTGACAAGCGGCTTTGACCTGCACTATTGACGGTATGCACTAATCGAAACTGCACTATTGAGGAGGTACTCTCTGTAGTAACGAACGGCACCTCTCGAAAGTACAATAATCAGAGAGGCCCTCAGTATCTCGAAAAACATGAGCATCATACCCGACTAGTCATGTAGTCTCCTGCCGCAATTGTGCGGCTCTGTCATGACTCTCGTCAATTTACAGTATTCCATGAGTGGAGGAAGTTTTGCTTGTACCGTTACCTCCAGCAAGACTACTGGTTTAATGAAACACTCAACTACGGCATCCACAGCACATATACTGTACTGTTCTGTACTTACTGGAAACACGTACGGTATGGATCCGAGCACAGGTCTGGAGAACATTCATACAGAATCTGGTCCTGTGGATTGTTTCGCAATTCTCCCTTACAGCTGTTTTTCGAGCTATTTAGAAGATTCATTTTCGATATGCAGTATTCGTAATTTCTAATGTAAATCACATAGCTGTAACCAGCGGCTGACAACGCCGCACGCACACCTGCTTGCAGGTGTTCACAACTTGCTCTAGAGAGCAGGTTGTGAGAGCAGAGATCTGCTCTCTGCCTTGTCAAGCTTGAAAAGCCCGGGCTAATGCAAACAGGTTCCCCTGTAGAAGTTCAACGTAACACAACTAACCCATCTTTTACACAGCCCGCAGCGAATACTAAGTCCAAGATGGAGTCAACAAAAAAGACTAAATATAATGCAGAGTCATAAGAACGCACTAAATTATCGACGAGACACAACAACGAAGAAAAAATAAAATCAAAAGGTGCCACAAGCAACGGCCGTCGCTTCTGCGCTCTTTGAACAACAGCACTCTACATATGTTGCCCTTGCAATTAGACTGCTTGTTGGATACCAGATGAATCTTATCGCCGTCATTGGCAAAACGGTTTAACTCTTCGTCTGGTACTAGAAAGTACAGCCATGCATGGAGGCAAATATTCCAATTCGAAAATTAAACCGCGCGGAAAATTCTCCATCTCGGGCCTTGCCCTTTGCGCAAACTTTTGGAGGTCCACCTCTGGTTTCAATTCAATGACGCAATGGTGCTCATCCTTGTCACTTAAAAACAGCATTTCGCTGCGTCCACATATGAGGCTAAGCGCAATTGTAGCCATGCATTGCATGCAACTCACAGGTTAGCTTCACGGCGTGTTGTTTGATTTTGCATAGCTCAAGACTGGAGCGCCTCTCAGCCTTAAATTACCTTTCCTTTCATATGATATGCATGTCAGATTTGCATCATGTGGGACATATCATCACCCATTGCTTCCTCTCTTAAGAAAACTGGGAACGACAGTCCTGGGTCCATGTTTGTCACATATACGATACAGATTTACTGGAATATCATTTTTCCAAAGTACAGTACGAGGAGTTGTGAGCAATGATAGTCGCAGAAATTTAACAGGCAACAGTATTGCATTTTCGAAAAGCTATCCCCCAAACTGAAGAAGGATGGCACGTTATCAATAGAATACGGCTTGTTTACTCTCTTTGCAGCTATCTCGAGTGCTTCGTGCATTCGCATTGAGAGAACTGAAGTGAAGTTGATGCTCCCGATGAGATGTTGTTTTTGGGGCTCAGAGCGCCGCTCAAAAACCCATTTTATGTATTGCTTTATCATACCTGTCACGTCCCTTGCGGGAACAACGAGCGCACCTCAAGACTTATCTTAAGAATTCCAAGGAGATTGTGATACGCTTAAACGTTTTCTGTGAATGGTGAGTGGTACATACGGCAGAAGAAAAGGGACGACAGTCGTGGAAGATACTGTAACAGTTAGTAGTGTAGGGGGGCAAACGGTGAATAAAAACACTTGGTTCGTTGGGGCGTAAATTGTGAAGAGTCGAATCATGGTTAGGCTCGAAGCAAGATGCGAAAGTGAGTGACGGGGTTGATTACATTTGCAAGTTATAAAAGCGAGAGGTGTTGGCCTCGTCCTGCGACGAGGCTATACCAACAAAAAAAAAAAAAAAAGGGCCAAGCGTTTCTAAGGCGGTTCCGTGCGACTGTTAGGTGCGTCTACTTGGATAGCCTCGAAGACGGTGCGCCACCTCTCCGGGGTAGGCTTCCCGCCCTCCTTATGAACGATACAAAGATCTAAATTGTTCGAGGTGTCCCAGCCGGCGGCAACGGCCAAGGCCATCGCGGCAGCCTCTCTGCTTAAAGTACCTGACATAGTATCGCCTTTCTCGACGGCGACATCGAGGCAGTTGTCGTCCGGCTCCTCCTTCGCGGCGCCAATATTAGAGTGCGGGGCGCCAATCAATCTTCCTGGCCTCAGAATAGCGTAAGCACACTGCAGGCGGCTCGCGGCGTCAACAACATGCATCTCACCCCTACGCTTTGCGTCGAGGACGCCGAAAGCGTTGAGAATGAAAAACGGGAAGGACCTCGCGCGGGCGGTGCCGATGGAGGACATGAGGACGACGCGGCGGATGGCGGCGGGGTCGAGCGCGGCGACGAGCGAACGGACGGCGACATCGTCGATGGCGTTGGGTGTGTTCCCGCCGGCCCACGCGCGGGTGGGGAAGGCGGTGGTGCCGAGGCAGATGACG